CCATCTCAAAACCCAACCACTAGAGCCCCTCCAAGAGTCCCAACTCCCCCTGCGAGTCGTGTTGCCACCGCCCCTGCAGGACCAGTCCCTGCCATTTCAGCTCAACAATTTCCGACCGACATTGAGTGCGAAAAATGCAATGAGAAGGGACACCCCCACCGGTATTGCCCGCATCCTAAGAGAATGTTCTGTTATCGCTGCCGAAACTCCGGTTTCACTTCAAGGACTTGCCCCAACTGCAGTAGGGAAAACGAGAAGTGAGGCGAGCCGACCCGGCGAACTCGTCTCCTGAAGATTCCCTTTCCGATCCGGGACCCTCAACATGCAACCCTGTTGCCTCCCCCCCAATTGACCTTTCTCGGGTGGAATCTGATCCTCTGCAATTGATTGCCCCCGAAATTCCTGCAGAATTGCCATCGTTGCTCAATAGTTCCGCGGAACGAAGACCCCTTGCTTTTCACGTGGATATCACCATTGGTGGTTATCGCGTAAGAGCCTTGATTGACTCTGGTGCGACGAGTAGTTTCGCTGGTGCTGCCGGATTAAAATTATTCCAGAAAGCACAGATCATCCCCTACGAAGTGCCGGAGAAGCGCGTGATCCTTGCTGGTAGCCAAATAGAAAGAGTTCGACACATGTCGACATGTCATGCCGAACTTGCGGGCCGGACTACGCTATTAGACGTGCTATTACTACCCACCCTATCTGAAGATTTTATCCTAGGGATGGATTTCCTAGTGGGAGCCCGAATAGTGATCGACTTCTTCGATCAATCCTGGTATTATCGAGAAATGCCTGGAGAGCAGCATAAATTCACACCTTCGCATTCTGCCAGTAGTATCATTGTCTGTAATGGTTTGCGTACCCTAGAGAAAAGTCAAGAACTAAGATTAGACGAATTTTTGGGGAAAACCCTCCCAAAGGGTTCCGATAAACCTGGGATCACCACACTTACGTCTCATCATATTGACGTCGGGGATAATGCCCCTATCAAGCAAAAACCCTATCCTGTGAGTCCCGCGATTCGTGGGATCATGTGGAAAGAGGTGGACGAGATGTTGGCGAACGACATCATCGTGCCGTCCATGAGCAACTGGTCCAGCCCCATTGTTATGTTTCGTAAACCCAATGGTAAATATAGGTTTTGCATCGACTTCCGCCGTGTCAATGCGGTCACGAAGAAAGATGCCTATCCAATCCCGAATATGACGGGTATATTGGACGAATTGCGCCATGCGCACTACATTACTACTCTCGATTTGAGTCAAGCATACTTTCAGATCCCGTTAGACCCTGAAAGTCAAGAAATCACTGCATTTATCGCCCCTGGAAGAGGTCTATTCCACTTCCAGCGTATGCCTTACGGCCTCACGAATGCGCCTGCTACATTTCAGCGCCTCTTAGATCGCCTTTTGGGTCAAGGATTATACCCCAATGTTTTCGTCTACTTAGACGACATTATTATCGTGNGTTTAGCCGTCCTATGGTCGATGAATAAGTTCCGTTGCTACCTCGAGGGATATTCATTTACAGTGATCACCGACCACAGTAGCCTTCGCTGGTTGCATAATTTAAAAAATCCAACCGGTCGACTTGCCCGTTGGGGCCTCAGTATGATGGAGTACGACTTCAAAATTGTGCACCGAAGAGGTGCTTTGCATCACGTACCCGATGCCTTATCTCGCGCCCCCGAAGAAGAGAGTGCCGACTGCGAGACAATTGAGCGCCTTCGCGTAAGCGACGATAAATGGTATAATAAGAAATTCCGTCACGTGCAGAGAGTGCCTGAATTTTTCCCCGATTGGAAAATTGCGAATGGACAATTATATAACCATNGTCCTTGATAAAATCACCTCAGCTGGTCTGACGATCAATAAAGAAAAGAGCCATTTCTGTCGATCTCAAGTCAAGTATCTAGGTTTTATAGTCAATAGTGCGGGATTGCAAGTGGACCCGGAGAAAATCGAACCGGTCCTCAATTACCCAGCCCCCAAAAATATTAAGCAATTGCGTAGGTTTCTAGGCATGGCATCATGGTATCGCCGATTCATACCCCAATTTGCGACGATCGCCGAACCCCTCACTCGACTCACCCGGAAGCAACAACCCTGGATGTGGGTGGAGGAACAAAACCATGCGTTTGCAGCCTTGAAGGAATGTTTGACCACGTCTCCGACTCTCGCGTGCCCAAACTTCGAGCTTCCCTTTACACTGCAAACAGATGCCAGTATGGTGGGGTTAGGTGCCGTACTCACCCAGGTAATTGACGGCGAAGGACGAGTAATTGCGTATGCGAGTCGCGCGTTAACGGCCGCCGAAAAGAAATATACGGTTACTGAATTAGAATGTTTAGCCGTTCTATGGTCGATGAATAAGTTCCGTTGCTACCTCGAGGGATATTCATTTACAGTGATCACCGACCACAGTAGCCTTCGCTGGTTGCATAACTTAAAAAATCCAACCGGTCGACTTGCCCGTTGGGGCCTCAGTATGATGGAGTACGACTTCAAAATTGTGCACCGAAGAGGTGCTTTGCATCACGTACCCGATGCCTTATCTCGCGCCCCCGAAGAAGAGAGTGCCGACTGCGAGACAATTGAGCGCCTTCGCGTAAGCGACGATAAATGGTATAATAAGAAATTCCGTCACGTGCAGAGAGTGCCTGAATTTTTCCCCGATTGGAAAATTGCGAATGGACAATTATATAACCATCGCCCCTCTGAATTCATCTCGGTAGAGATGGAAGATTTAGATGCGTGGAAGCTGGTGCTCCCCAAGGAACTCAGGTCCAGAGCCACTGCCCAATGCCATGAATTGCCACAAGCCGGCCACCTAGGTGTCGATAAGACCTATTGTCGATTGAGTCAATCCTATTACTGGCCTAGTATGTTGCGTGACGTCATAAGTTTTGTGAAACACTGCGAAACGTGCCAATTATGCAAAGTTGAAAATGCATTACCTAGAGGGTTCATGGGGAACCGAGCGATCGAAGAACCTTGGACAACTGTTGCCGCAGATATTATGGGCCCAATTACTGCCAGCAAATCTGGCCATTGTTACCTCCTCGTGCTGCAAGATCTATTTACAAAGTGGATAGAAGTCATTCCATTGCGAAGAGCCACGGGCAAAGTTATTCGCAAACATATCGAGAATGTCGTTGTTTCTCGTTGGGGAACTCCTCGCATCCTATTCACAGATAACGGAACGGAGTTTGTCAATAAAGAGATTCGTGCCTTAGCCGCCTTGACTGGTATGCGACACCAAACTTCGCCCCCCTATCACCCTCAAGCGAACCCCGTCGAACGGGTTAATCGTGTTTTAAAAATGATGCTTAGAGCCTTTGTCGATAGCGACCATCGGACGTGGGATCTACATCTTCACGAATTTCGTTTTGCGTTCAATACTGCACTCCATAGCGCCTTGCAATGCACCCCTGCATTTGCCAACTTCGGCCGGGAGCCATTATCGGCGGTTTCTCTCCGTCGAGACATTGAGGGTGAGATCGAAATCGAACCGAGATCACCGGAAGAGTGGTTAGAGCGTATGAAACGGCTGGAGGTACTCCGTAAGACCTTGCATCATGCGTTGACGGAGGCTCAAACCCGTCAAGCTCACTATTATAATTTGCGCCGTCGTGATCATGAGTTTAACGAGGGAGATCTCGTCATGCGCCGGTCACATCCACTCTCTAATGCCGCTAAGCGCTTCTCTGCGGTCCTACGAAGGCCCTTACGTCGTTTTCAAGAAACTCTCGAAAACCCGTTATCAATTAGCAGACTTCTCAGGTAAAAATCAAGGTGAAGTATCAGTGCAAGATCTCAAGCCATATTTGCCGCCCTTAGATAATGCAGACGCTTGAATAATCGGTAGTACTGATATAGAAAGCCTGAGATGAGACACTGTAGTTGCATGAGTTGCCTTATATCACTTTTTTTGCCTCTTATCCCGATATAAGTGAATTTCTCCGCTTGCATCCTCCTTTATAGATAACTTGGAAGGGAAAAAGACGAAGGAGTCCAAGAAGGACACACCCGAGGAGGAGATGGAGGCCGAACCTGCGACACATGACGCCAACATTGGAGGGACGACATTCTCTCGCATTGCGGACAAGGACGCCAATCCAGAGGAGAGTCAGGGGACCCCGACACTTGCGCCTTCGGACGCCCCCACAGGGGAAAAGCCTTCAACGGAGGCTAAGGCCCTCAAGCCTGCTTCGCTAGTAGCTACCGAATGGATAACACCTGCGACCCAGGACGCCACCACCCAGACTGAGACCATTGTTGCCCCAGGTCAGATGGAATAGGCACCATTGTCGTCCTATGGTAAGGAGATGTGGGCCATCGCCGCCACTGACCCCGCCTTCATGCAAATCCTTCGCGTTCTCGCGACCTCGCTGCTGAACCAGAAGCCACCCGCCACCCTCACGGAGATGCCACCTTTCCCACCCTTGGAAGAGGTTTCATAGGAGAAAGATTTAAAACGAGACTGGTACGAAATCTGCGTGGCCGAGGAAGCTACCCAGGTAACCATCCAGAAACCCTCAGTGACCCAAGGACCATCTGCACCAGTTGCCATCCCCACCACCGGGGCAGACACCGCTGTCTCAGACCCAACGATTCCAACATCCTCCATCAACGATGCCATCGCGGCCACCCCAACTCCACCTCCCACACCCCTCACCCCAGTTTCCACCCCCGATGTCACGGGCGAGAAGTTCACCTTCTCCAACCCTCCCGAAAACCCTACAGAGGCAACTGTCAAGAGGGTCAAACCCCTTCCCACTCCAACCGAGGGAGAAACCACCAACACCAGCTAGTTCTGCGAATATCGCCACTATCACCCGTCCTTTCCCTGAACTCCCCCCACTAACCCCAGGAAAGGATATCCCTCACCCTTGCGAATTCTTCGCCAACCACCCCGACATTTTGGAGATCGAGGCTTCGGAAGACGAACAATTGGAAGCCGCTGCTCGAGACCTAGGGTCCAAAACGTTAACCCTAATGACAACATCAAGGACCCGGGAGCCGAGTCCACCCAAGCAGGAGGAGCCGATGACGCCAACTACACCAATACTCCCCGAGCCAAAGGAATCACCAGAGTTCCCAGAGGCCAAGGAATCGCCACTGCCTTTAGAGCCAAAGGGACCACCAGTGCCCCAGAAGCCCCATGCTCAGGATTCCCTCCACGGGAAGTCGGGAAGTCAGCCTCCCAGTAGGGATCCCAGCCCTTTGGCCAATCATCCAGCTCTCCAAGGACGACCAGGAGAGCCTCTCCCTCCAACCATTCCTGACATTAGGCTGGAGAGACCCCCTAGAAGGTCATCATATCGAGGAGTTAGGTGCCATCAGTGCCACGGGTACGGCCACGGATACCCAGAATGTCCCAGCGTCGTCAGACACGATTATTGTGTCGTGTGTGGAAAATGGCATTGTAATCCATTTTCCTGCGAACTGGGCGATCAGCGCCACCAAAAAGCCAAAGAGGCTGTGAAGTGGAACCTCCCTCATCAGCCTCAGCAGCCCAACCCCAAGACTGCACCACGTGCCACTAATCTCTCCAGATATCAATCCACAGAAGCCATGCCAGAGACCCAACCCCTTACCAATAGGCCTATTCCCTCTAGGACTCTTAGTACTCCTGCCATCAGGCCCAATCCTTCCCCCACACCCAGTCAAGTCACCCCTACCAACAGAGGAGCCAACCACAAAGTGCCAGTCACGGTATATCCCCCATCCCAGCCTCCAACCCAGTCTCAGCGCCTACACAGCGGAGAGGAGGTACCCACCCAGGCCAGATTGGGACCCACCAGGGGTCAAACGCATGCGGAATCAGCCGCCAAGCATCCAAGGACCTCCCCTACTCACCATGCTCCGTAAGCCAACTCCTCAGCTGACCCCAAGAATGCTTCGAAAGCCCACCAGACACCAGTGAACCCTGCCGAGGCTCAGCCCTCAACCTCGGGACAGGTATCTTGGCCTTCACTGCCTGCTGCTTCAGCCAATACTACCTCTCAGGCCAACCCCTCGACCTCGTCGAAAACCACTACCCCCCTACTGCCACCAGGGCGTATAATGCTGTCTAGCCACCCGATTATTGCTACAAGCTTGGAAACCAAGACGGCAGAGCAGTGACTGGAAGAACTCGCAGCCATGGACCCCATGGCCATCGCTAGGTTCCTCAACAAACAGGTTACCGCGAAACCGAATAAAGGCGCTGAATAAAGGCGGCGGCCTCGAGGGAATTGCTGTAGAAGCCACTTGCGACTATTCGCCTCCAAAACCGAAAAAAAAAACATTGCGGATACCACCGCTCAAAGTCGTCGGTTACGATAGACCAAACATTGCGGATACCACCGCTCAAAGTCGTCGGTTACGATAGACCAAACATTGCGGATACCACCGCTCAAGATCACTCCCCAGGAGAGATAAGAGACTGCGAAAACGCGACACAAGTTGAAGACTGGAGTTTGGAAATTTCACATCTTTCATGGCCATCCGCCCAGGACCTTTATTGTCCTTGATTAAATTATGCTTAATTCATTATTAGATTAAGATAGTGAATAGTTGCCTCTGTGCCTTATGCATTTGCTTGCTGTAATGTTAGCATTCAAAGGTGAATGTGCTGAGTGCCTATATTATGCTTGGATTACCCCTGCTGATTAGGAATGTATTGTTGTGCCAATCACGTCTGTTTTGAGCTTATTACTGTCTGCTGAGTCTGGTATTGAAAACGCATAAATGGGAATTTTTGTTGCATTTTTGCCATGACGAATAGCGTACTAATCCATTTTTTTTGGCTGTGCTTTATGTACCTGATGCCTAAAGGCTATAATTAATAAATAATCTTACGTCTATGCGATACGTTTATTAGGTTGCCCGGCTCTCTATTCATAGAGCATGAGACTTTATTTCAGGTCGTGGGTTCGAGTGAGGCTGATCAGAGAAGAGCACTATTGCTACAGTGCTGAAGGGAGGAAGCCACCACCCCCGGAAAATAACCCTTGACCGATGCGGAAACGGACTTGGAACCGGCAAAGATGGGGGGTGTAAGGGATTCTGGGGAAATCCCTTCGCTCGCCGCGGGATCATCGGAAAGAGTACCGGAAAAATCGTAAGTACGCAGAGAAATGACCCAATCGAGCCAATAGTTTCGAGTCAAGTCGTTGGTTAATAATTAGAGATTTCGAGTCACTTTGGATCCATTAGAACTTCGGTTTTGCGTTCCAACGCCTTTTTTTTATTTTCTTTTTGTTATTGGGAATCTGGTTTTGCGTTCTGACGCCCTTTTGTATTTTTGGACTCGTTCTGTCTTCACATTGCGTTTCGCGCCTTCCGTTTGTTAATTGGATGGGGGAAGAATTAACTATATAGGGCCGATGGAATTTTCGTGGCTTAGGCCGAGATATTACCGAGCTGCGCGATCATTCTTGAGGATCTTTTTTTTCCCTGCGTTTCGAATTTTCGGAGATTGTGTAGGAGTAGTTGGAATACTACCGCTCAATTAGTGGATTTTTGGGGTTTGGGAAGGGTTAGTTTTGGGTTAGGTGGAAGGTCACGCGATCAATCCCGACCGTTGTTCTCGCGTGAATCGCCAAGGTCGTTTTAGTTGGATTTTTCTAATTGTTTTTATATTTTGTAATTAAGTTTTGTTCGTTTCTTTTGTAATTTATTTCCCTAGCCCCGTGATCCCGAGAATACGACTCCGGAGAGGAGATTATAGTTAAATGGGAATTTTTCTTGAGTTAATAGCCAACTCTGACATCCACTTCAATCAGTGTAGTAATTAATTTTTGTATAGGGTTATTTAAATTTGAATTTCGTTAGGTAGGAATCCCGATTACCGACCGTTACGTAATTGTTGCGCCATCCAGGCGCACGTGGCGCTCTGTCCACGTCTCATCTCCGTGCGCCAAGCCGCCATCGTGGCTCATCGAGCGTCAGTATCGATTGGCCTCCTCACATGTGACACACGTGAATGTACCGCAGTTCGTTCTCGCCGCTGCGAAAAATATTTAGGAGCTTTTTCTTTTGTGTGTGTGGAAGCAGAGGACTATTATAGTTGATCGGGAGCGTACCGGAGGGGGACAAGACTTTTTGAGGGCCCGGATTTTTATATGTGGAGGCTTTGCCGGGGAGCAGACAAGCGGGGAGTAGGGCGTCGTTCCGTTGGTGAGTTTCACGAATCTTTTTTTGCTGTTGGGAATCATTTTTGTAGTTTTCTCATCTCAGAGTTTTAGGATAATAAATTATTGATTTTGAGGTCTTGCTCTGTGCGCTAGAGCTTAAATAACGCCCAATAATTGCATTAGTCGCCTGTCAGGTTTTGCGAGTTTTGACGCCGCGAGAGATTTCGCATATGGTTCTCTCTTGCGAGGGTGGATTTCGTGTTTCTTTCTCGCACCCGTAAGGATAGTTTTATGTCGGTTGAGTGAGTGAATATTTCGGGAGTTTTGCGTTGGGATTTTTGGATAAAAGCCGTGTAGTTTCCGACTTCCAAGGCACTTCTGCGCTAGACGCCTTCTAGAACACCTCGAGCTGTTAGCTCTCGGTCTTGCCAGTCGTTATGGCTTAATGAATTCGATGTTTCATTTATTTAAGAACTCGTCGGGATTTCTTGCGTTCCTTCGATTTTCTCGGGATATAGTTCTGTTTTCATTTCGCTCCGATCGTTTTCAATGTTGCGTTCACCGCCTCGGGATGCAATATCCCTGAAAATACGGAGTAATTAGGATTTGAGAGTGCCGACGGCTTGTTAGAATTTATTGATTTTTTTTGTTTTGTGCGTTAACCGCCCTCGTTGGAGACATTCTCATGCGGTTTTTCGCTTCAGGGTCGCGCCTCCGTAGATTCTATGTGCCGCGTCCGTCGTTTTAGCTACCACGTGTTCGTTTATGCTCTCGAGCCCGCGCGTTCCCGAGCATTATGTTGCGCTAGATTTTCCATTGTACCTTGCGTCTGCGGCGCCTTAGGAATTTCAAGTTTTCTTTGAAATCCTTACTCTATTACGTTCCATCGTCGGGGATGATTTTTGCAATACGGGATTAAGAGTAATTTTTCTTCGTTATTGCTAAATTAGCCAACCCTCGTCCGATATCATTTTTTTTTGTCTTTTCTCATTTTGTTCCATTTTTGAGGTTACTTATTTATTTTGAATTAATAGGTTTTCCTTTTTTTTTTGGTCTCTCTGCGTACATCGCGTGATATTAATTACGGTGTGATATTATTGTGATATTGTGGAATTATTGTTAATAGCTTTGATGGATAGATACATGATATATATATTTTTTTTGGTCTCTCTCCCTCAATCTCAGAGCGGATCATGGTTTCTTTTTTTGAAAATTATCACGATTATTACTCTTTTGGTGAACTTGTGAGACAATATAAATCCGTACATTTCAGCATTAAACTTTGGCCTTGCGTGTCTTTCTTTTAGGATAAGAGCCCAGTGACCCGTTCTCCACCTGAACCTACCCCTCTCTCCACAACCGACACCCTGAGCAGCGCAAGCACCCTGTCACCTTTCCCTTGGCCCCTTAGGTTTAAGTTTTGTTGTGTTCAAATTTTTGGTTTCGTTGTACCCTTTTGCTTCGGTCTACTTTCGGTTTGTTGTTTCCGTCGAGACAAAAAAAAACAACTGGCGCCCATAATCATCGAGTTTGAGTTTTCTGACATTGTCAAGGGAAAAGGGCGAGTTAACGTCCATTTTTTATCCCCAGTAAAAATCGGCCACGTTACAAGTCATACATTTATAACGCACTTTTTTGTTTATATGTCAGACAGAATATTAAACGTGAAATGAGTTGAAAGATGAGAAACATTTGAAAAGCTACTAGTGAATTTCCTTCGGAATTATTTTTACACATTTCCAAAAAAAAACTGTTTGACAGCCTCAAATACTGCGCTCTGATTGGCTGAAATCCGAGTGAGAAAACTAATCAGTAGTAATACCACGAGACCTCCAAAATTATCGAATATTTTTGCAGATTAAAATCCCGAGCGCGCAGCGCCAGGGATGAAAAAATTCACGGATGAAAAAATTCAACCCACGGTTATTCGTTCAATGAGCGCGACGCCGCCCGTTTTTGTCTATTTATATTTTTGTTTTTCTTGACGTTTACAAATTCTTAAAAATTAGAGTTCCTAGTTCAATCTTTTTATTGAGCGTTGGCATTGTCTGTTTTTTTCTCCAAAAATTTGTTTAACTACAAAAAAAAGACAAGTCAAACGGACAGAAAAGCGCACCGCGCCACTCGGCCCGGTGCGAGTGAATCTCTGTCCACCACTCGAGCGAGCTACATTTGCTTCTTCATTCACTACCACATTTGAAAGACGCACGTAGCAGTAGGCGCCAACATGGCAACAGCGCGCTCGGTTTACTCCAGCGGCGCTGCGCTAACCGTGCGATAAATGAAGGCTAGCGCGAGTGATCGAGGGTTAATAGAAATATTTACCTAGCGAATTGGTTAGAAACTTCTATTGGATATCTATTGAACTCTCAATTAGTTTTCGGCCGATTTTATTGAGACGTTTAACAAAAAATATTCAATAGAAAAAGTCAATAGAATTCGATTTGTTTTCTATATAACTTATTCTATTGAGATATTTTTTATAGAATTTCCTCTTTTCAAATTTTCGAACTTTTTTTGTTTGATTTTCTTGATGAGAACAAAAGGAAAATAGTAGAAAATTTGAGCCAAGGACATTCTACAGAAAATATCTGAAGAGTATAAGATACATAGGAAAATCGAATTGCACTGACTTTTTCTATTGAATATATTCTATTGAACATTTTACTAGTATCGGCCAAAAACTAGTAGAAAATTCAAAACATACTGTAATAGGAATTCCTAACGAATTCGCAAGATTTTTCTTGAAAA